TCAGTGCCTATTTGTTACCTTTCGCCAGGCGAAACAACATTTCCTAACAAATAAGTGAGATAAGCAAGTGCAGTGCTCTGATTCCCTGGTGCCCTTTTCTTAATAAATAAATCAATATTTAAATAAATATTACAATTCTAACCACTTGACCTCTCAAAGCTTTGTAAATATTTTCTGCTTTCTGTTAGAAAACATATACAAAAAAATCAAATTCTTCATAAATGTAGGCCAAAATGTATTCTGCAACATGTCTTTGGTAAAAAAAAAAAGTCTCAATACAATATATTAATTGATTTGTGTAAAAGTTATAGCGTCTACAAACTATGGTATAATGTATATATTTGAAAATTGATCAGTTCTGATGTACTGATGGCCTATCTCATTTCTTGAGGTCCTAAAAATACCAATACAGTACATATACCCCCCAGATGACCCCTTTTTGGAAAGTATACAGCCTGAGGTCATTAGTAAGAGGCATGGTGAGTTTTTGAAGTTGTAATTTTTTTTTTGTCACACTTGTTTTGAAAATGAAGAAATCAAATAAAATGTTTTTCAATTTTTTATTTACATACTGTGACCAGTGCAGTACAGCGTCATAATGTGACAGGTGTGGTGGTGATCACAGATACTGACCAGTGACAGTATGTTTAACAAGGAAAAAAACTAAATTATTCCATTTATTAAAACTTTTTTTAAGTTTTTGTTCTCTTTTTTTACTATCATTTTTTTACATTCTTTCATCAGAGTAGTTCAGTGTCACCATAGTGACACTATACTACTCTGGGGAAGGGGGGGGGTTTCAGGGATTTCTTTTTTAAACTTTGATTACTGGTACAATGATGATCACTGTAAAAGCATTGTTGTGAACTGTCATGAATAGGTTACATTTACAATATCTGCAATTACTAGTGATCTGTGATTGGCTACAGCTAATCACATGGTACAGGGTACTGTGATTGGCCCAGGTACCATGTGATAGCTGTGGGTCAATCATAGCATCACTCTATAGGAAGCCCTGCTGTTATGAATTAAATTAATTCATAACAGCTTTCTTGACAATGACACTTATTCTACTGACTCTGCTGCCTGATTACCTGCTTATCATGTCGGCCTATTCTTCTGACCTTGCTCCTGCATGATCCCCTGTGTTTGACCCTTGCCCTGCTCCTGACCTTACTTTTTGCTTCTGCTCCTGATTGACCTTCTGTGTATGACCCCTGGCCAAGCTTGACCCTGCATTCTGCCTGCTGGTTAGTACCGCCTGCTACATCTAAAGAACATACGCCTGCTGTCAAATTCTGCCTGCCACATCTGGAGAATGTATACCTGCTGCCAAGTGCTGGCTACGTCTGGAGAACATCAGCTCTGCAGCCACTATTGCTGATCCTTACATCTTCAGGTGATTGTCATCTCAGCTCTCAGGCTCCAACAGCTGGCAACCTGTGCTTCTCTGGGCCTAGCATCTCCTGTTTCTACCTTCAGGGGTGTTCCACACTCAGCTGCAAGGGGAGCCCTCTCAGCACTCCGTCCTCTGACCAGGTAAGTGACACATAGTAAACATAGTTTACTATGCTTCAGCTATGAATGGACACATTCATTCAGAAAAGGAAGGGGCCAGAAGATTACATATTTACTGTCCCCCTTTCCCACTCTCCATCCTGACAGATCCTTCGCAGCAGTTGTGGGAAAAGTGAGGAGGGGAGAAGTGCTGTGGGAGGTCCAATGGAGCACATCGGGGCCAGGCAACACTGTTAGGAATGGACTTGCCAGTAGTGGTGGGACTCACCTGCCTTGTGGGCTGCAGTACCAGGGCTGGCCAGCGGGTGCTCCCAGCAATCAGAGACTCAACTCTGCAGTCAGCCAAACACCTGAAACTGCTTATACTGGTGTATTTAAGGGATGGCCAGACCTGCAGACTCGGTCTTGGTGTGTGTTTCTCCTGGGCCCTGTATCCTGTTCCTGCTCCCTGTTCCTGTTTCCTGTCTGATTCGTTGCTGACCCTGCTCTGATCCCTGGCTTTGTCTGACCATTCTCCTGCTCCTGATCCCTGGCTTTGTCTGACCATTCTCCTGCTCCTGATCCCTGGCTTTGTCTGACCATTCTCCTGCTCCTGATCCCTGGCTTTGTCTGACCATTCTCCTGCTCCTGATCCCTGGCTTTGTCTGACCATTCTCCTGCTTAACCCCATACGTTCTGACCTCCTGTTGATAATCCCGGCCTGCCTGACGACGCTTGCATTGTATGTACTGTTATCTGTGGGTGGTTTGGTTTGGTTCGTTTGCACTGTGTATGTTTTAGTATTGCACTGCGTTTATGTATTGTTAGTGTTAATAAATTATATTTATGACATATCTGAAGCCTGCGTTTCCCTGCGTCAGTCACATACCTCTGGTCATACCCTGGAGCCCTGACAAACACAAAGAATAGGAACCTTGAGAGAACGGGTGGTGAGAGCAGAATTCAGTAGAACCGGTGGCTGTGTGTTCCTCTCTGCAGTGGCTGAATGTCAGAGGCAAGGTGAGGAGAAGTGGCCATTGCCTGCTTTCAGCTGTTGCACGGAGGAAAATACATCCATCGGTTCCACTAAATGGCACCTCAGCTCCAGGTTCTGGGGTCAGCAACCAAGGGATGCCATCTACCCACCACCTCTTCGCAATCGATGAGTAGATCGCAATTGATGGGTTGTCGTCCCCTGCCATATAGATGCTATTGTACCCATATATCTGCTGTTGTGCCCATATAGCTGCTGTTGTGCATCTATATAAGCACAATAGCAGTTATATGGGCACAATAGCATAAAGATGCTATTGTGCCCATATAGCTTCTATTGTGCACATATAGATGCTGCTGTGCCTATATAGCTGCTGTTTTTTCCATACAGCTGCTATTGTGCCCATATAGATACTATTGTATCCATTTAGCTGCACTGTGCCCATATAGATACTATTGTACCCATTTACAGTTGCAAGAAAAAGTATGTGAACCCCTTGGGATTACGTGGAGTTTTGCATGAATTGGGCATAAAATGTGCTCTGAATGTCATCTAAGGCACAACAATAGAAGAACACAGTCTGCTGAACATAATACTACACAAACATTAGATGTTGCCATGGTTTAATTGCACATAACATGTAAGCATTCACAGTGCAGGGAGGAAAAAGTATGTGAGGCCCTAGCTTAATGACTTCTCCCAGAGCTAATTGGAGCCAGGAGTGAGCCAACCTTGACTCCAATCAGTGTGATGATATTGGATGTGTTGCTGACAGCTGTCCTGCCCTTAAAAAACACACACCTGTTTTGGGTTTACTGGTTTCAAGAAGCACTGTCTGATGTGAACCATGCCTAGCAGAAAAGAGCTCTCAGAAGACCTACGATCAAGAATTGTTGACTTGCATGAAGCTGGAAAGGGTTACAAAAGTATCTCCAAAAGCCTTGATGTTCATGTGTCCACGGTAAGACAGACTGTCTACAAATGGAGAAAGTTTAGCACTGTTGCTACTCTCCCTAGGCTTGGTCGTCCTGTAAAAATGACTGTAAGAGCACAGCGCAGAATGCTGCATGAGGTAAAGAAGAATCCCAGAGTGTCAGCTAAAGACCTACAGAAATCTCTGGCACATATGCTAACATTTTTGTTGACACATCTACAATAAGGAAAACATTAAACAAGAATGGAGTACAAGGGAGGACACCACGGAGGAAGCCATTGCTGTCCAAAAAGAATATTGCAGCACGTTTGAAGTTTGCAAAAGAGCACCTGGATGTTCCACAGCACTACTGGCAAAATATACTGTGGACAGATGAAACCAAGATTGAGTTGTTTGGGAAGAACACACAACACTATGTGTGGAGAAAAAAAGGCACAGCACACCAACATCAAAACCTCATCCCCACTGTAAAACATGGCGGAGGGAGCATCATGGTTTGGGGCTGCTTTGTTGCCTCAGGGCCTGGACGGCTTGTCGTCATTGATGGGAAAATGAATTCCAGAGTTTATCAAGACATTTTGCAGGAAAACGTACGACCATCTGTCTGCCAATTGAAGCTCCGCAGAGGATGGGTGATGCAACAGGACAATGACCCAAAGCATACAAGTAATTCAACAAAACAATGGCTGCAACAGCACAGAATACGCCTTCTGGAGTGGCCTAGTCAGAGTCCTGACCTCAACCCGATTGAAATGCTGTGGCATGACCTTAAGAGAGCGATTCACACCAGACATCCCAAGAATATTGCTACACTGAAACAGTTTTATGAAGAGGAGTGGTCCAAAATTACTCCAGATTGTTGTGCAGGTCTGATCTGCAACTACAGGAAACGTTTGGTTGAGGTTATTGCTGCCAAAGGAGGGTCAACCAGTTATTAAGTCCAAAGGTTCACATACTTTTTCCTCACTGCACTGTGAATGTTTACTTGTTATGTGCAATTAAACCATGGCAACATCTAATGTTTGTGTAGTATTATGTTCAGCAGACTGTGTTCTTCTATTGTTGTGACTTAGATGATGTTCAGAGCACATTTTATGCCCAATTCATGCAAAACTCCACGTAATCCCAAGGGGTTCACATACTTTTTCTTGCAACTGTAGCTGCTATTGTGCCCATATAGATACTATTGTACTCATGTAGAAACTCTTATGCTCATATAACTGCTATTGTGCAACGATATAGGCACAATAGCAGCTATATGGGTTCAATAGCAGCTATATGGGCACAACAGCATCTACATGGGCACAATCGCAGGTATATGGAAAAAACAGCAGTTATATGGGCACAACAGCATCTATATGGGCACAATAGAAACTACATAGGCACAATAGCATAAAGATGATATTGTGCCCACAAAGCTGCAAATGTGCACTATTATGCCCAGTGGAAGACATTGATCTGTAGATCTCTTGCAGCTGTTTCCAGTTGCTGTGCATTCTGCTTAGAGGAGGCAGAGTGCTTTTGGTATCACTCCGCCTGACACTGCAGTCAGCGCCAGGGGCGGACTAACAACTCATGGGGCCCCCGGGCAATAGGTGATCATGGGGCCCCTGTGTCCTTGCCCAAACTCAAAAAAGCCTATGAAAAAGGTACCAGGGGCATCTCTTGGGGCCCCCTACTGACCCCGGGCCCTTGGGCAATGCCCTAGTTTCCAAATGTTCAGTCCGCCCCTGGTCAGCACTATAGAGGAGGCATTGGCTTATGTGACTGGCTGATGCCTCCTTGGTCACCTGCTCCCATTGCAGCTGGTGCCGCCTGAGCTACATGTGTGACAGCAGGTCGGCAAGCCCAGTCATGATCTATCAGTCACCAGGCTGCAATCGACTGGTGGGTTGCCAACCCAGGGTGTATAGTCTATGTGCATTCCTGTGTGAATGGCTGACCTAACAGGTGTTTGGCCAAGTAAACCTCTAGCAGCAGTGTAAAGTGAAACATATGTATAGCAGTGGTATTACTACTACTGCTAAATATGACAGTTTTCTGCTTAGGGCTCCTGGTTGTTAAGGAGCCAGCCCCCGCTGGATTCCTAACAACCATTGACCCATCTGAGTCAGCCTGACACATTCGGATGTCAGCTGGGGATTCCAGACTGAAATGTGAATATAAAAAAAATAATGGGCATAGTGTAAAAAAAATCATGAATCCTGATGAAAGATAATACTCACTGACATGTATGAACCCAAAGCTTGACACCTTCCAAATGACATCTCCAGGTTCTTGCCGCTAAAGTCTCTCAGTCTCTCTCAGGTGATGTCGATGATGAGTTTTTTTGGTTCTTTTAACAGGCATCGGAACGTGGTTAAAGGGGGACCTGCATACTGGACCATGTGATTGATAATAGATTTGACCCAGTAAGTATAGTTTTTTTTTCCTGTATAAAGAACCTGTCAAAAACGTTCTGTGTTTTGGCCAAGTAATTTACACTCTGCATTATTTTGTGAATGATGTAGGGGCACTAGGTATCCCTTACTCTGCTTCATATGCGGGTAGTGTCTAGGGCTGCCTGGTTGTTAAGGAGCCAGCCCCCGCTGGATTTCCTAACCAACCCCTAAAGACCCCCCACAACCATCTGAGGCCAGCCTGACTGTAGAGGCCCTTGTTCATGCATGGATATGGTCTGAAGAAGCCCACAGCTTTTTTGTTTTATTTATGGGCTTTTTTTGGTAGGGTCCCCCTTAAAGTCCATACCAAACCTGAAAGGACTGTATACATTTATTTACACCATCCCTTTGTTTACATTCAGCAGCAAGCTGGACTTCACAGTTGTCAGCTGGAAAGTGCTTGGCAGAGAAAAGTTACTGGTTGTTAGAATGCTGGCAGGTAGTAATACAACTGCTAAATGTTTCACTTCACACTGCCGCTGAAGTTTCAGTCATTTACTTAGGAATCTCCATAGACTGTACACAGTGCTGAGGACTCCCAGATATTATTTCCCTTGATCGTTGAATGTTCTTAGCCTATAGTGTTAGGCTGGGCTATTTTCTTTATCAGGAAATGCTCTCATGACTATTTTTGTCTTTGATTGCAGGTTAGGTAATGGTACATTCACAAGGAGAAAGGCAATAAATCGAAACTGACATTACATACATATTACAAATATTACGGGTGTTATTTTTTATGTATGCACAAATGATAAGACATTCACAAAGCAAATATTTTTAGGAATAGATCCCATGATGTCCAGCATCTACAATTACTTGTAAAATCAGTTTTAGAATAAAACAGTAAATATTATAACATTACTAAACTGCTAACATGAATATAACTACTGCTGCCTGGGGAAAAACCCTTAGTTTTGCATTCTATTGAAAGAGGTGTCCTCAAGCCTGCCTACCAAATACACATGCTTTCTACATATGACGGCAACAATCTGAAGGCCAGTAAATCCTAGCAGTCACAGGGTACCGTAAATGCCTTGTCAGCCCCACTGCAGCTGGACTCATCCGGTGGGGTCCACGGAGCAAGTTTATTTATCTCTTTTGAATGAATCAGAGAGGACTGCCATGAGCAAAAGTCTTGCTTAGTTAGGGCTGATACCGTGGCACTTTTATTCACCTTATGGGCAATTTTAAACAGACTTGCGAAGGGTTCTTGTGGAGGTGGTATAGGTCCAGAGGCAGTCTAGATTACTTTACCACTGTAGAGTCCTGTTTTGAACCCCTGAGCTGGGCAGAAGCTATTGGATGTGTACTGATTTGGTGTCACCCATCAACCAAAGGGATTTGACGGCACCTACTGCTAGCAGCATGGGTACTGTAAAAAAGTGGGACAGTGCCTATTCTTCTGCAGGTTCCTACTGCCACTCATGGGGAGGATAAGGGTGAGGCTAAAGGTGATAAACCAGTGCACATATTGGATGCTGCACTGTGTAGCACACACAGTATGTGTTTTTGAAGGTCCCTAGGAGGCACATGTAAAGAAAGAGCTTAAGGAGAAAGTCTGATACAAAGAGTACATTGTTATTTTACCCCTTTTGCCACTGGAGCATTTTTCAATTGAAAAATGGGAAATGGTAAAGACCTCAGGGAGGAGAAGGATGGGGATAGACTTAGATATCCTCCTCTAATACTCTTATATTTTATAACTGGCTTCAGGCTTTTGCAATCCTGGGGAGCATTACTGGTGCAAAGTCACCAGGCCAATGCTCAGGACTTTTCTGTTTTATAAGACTCAATATTTGCAGCCTATTGAACTTGAAGAGGGGGCAGTTTTGTCCGTAGATGTCTGTACGTCCATCCCGTGGTTGGGATCATACAGATGTAAAACGTGTACCGGGGTGGGCTCCCCAGGATACAGTGAAGTCAAGAACGAGGAAAGCAGCCCCAACACCAGCTTTTGCCACAACAGAATTTTACTTAGATGTGGCAAATAAAACACAACCACAAATGCTGGAAACATACAATAAATTTACATCCACCCAGCCCAAAGGATGAGACCCTTGTGCTGCACAGCACGGCGCCTTCTGATGGATGAAGGTAGAAAGTGAAGTAATTTACCTACTGGTGGGCACAACTAAGCTGCCACACCTTACCTGTTATTACTCTAAAAGAGCAGGAATCAGTGTATGGGTGTACAGTATGGGCTAGCCTGCAGTGCAGCACAACAGCTTACAATCTTACACAAATCTTCAGTATTCCCTCTCCCATAACTAGTCCTGTAGCACGTGCCTGAGTATTCTGTCTTAGCAAAAATGCCAGACTGGCTTGAGTTTGTAGGATTTTATCAGCTCTCTAATGTGAAATGTCACTTTAAGTTGTGGAGTCCTTCCAATAATCAGTAACAACACTTGTGGCCTGACACAAGCAGAGACCCTAACTAACTAACTATAGGCCTGGACTCAGTCTCAAGGCGCCAACACTGAAATGAGGTGCGTGCACAAGCTTACCTACTCGGGTCTCCTTTTTCATCCGCTGGTGACTCTGAACAGAACAAATGTCTCTCCAACAAGCATGCGATCTTGCTGTATATGTTGCTTAGTTCCTCTTGTCTTATCAGCTTCCTGGCAGCAATCTCTTCAGCATTCCTGGCAGCAATCTCATAAGCTTCCTGGCAGCAATCACTCATCAGCTTCACTCAGCTGCAGGTCTGGTTACTGAGGGACGCATGCACACCTGGATGTCATCGGATTCTCAGCTCACACGGCCCCTTCATTCAGCATCGTCCAAAACATGGCTGCAGTCTCCTCTTCCTGTTCACTCCAACTCTAAGTGCAAAACCCCATATAATATACAAATATCTATGCAGTCTGAGGCTGTGTTAGAAAAACAGTGACATCTTGTGGCTAAACTGCAGAATGTCAGTCAAAACATTAATTTACTTCCACACAGTGTTCAAACAATGATAGCTGTTTCCCCATCTCACACAGACATCACCTTATGGATGCAATTAATGGCAGCTCCAGAGTAGATGCTGGTGGCTTGAGGTTCTCCTCCACTTTATTTCAGTCAGTGGTTTGCGGTTCAGGGTCTGGATCATTGGCCTTAAACAGAAAAGGTATTTGCTGGCACTTCAATGAGGGAGCCTGTACATGGGAGGGAAAATTTCCATTTCAGGCATGAATGTTCTGCATATTGGGAAGGCAATCACCCTCTTTCCCATTGTTTCAGGCACACAAGGGCTTGAAGTGGGCAGAGAAGCCCAGGACTTATACACAGTGCTATAGTACCTGGCCATCAAGCCGAGGCAGGCGCAAACTCAACAAAGCAAACAGGTACTTGCGGTTGTAAGACAGGCAGAGTGGTTCAATGACAGTCCAGGTACAAGGCATGCGAGGTTCAGAATAATCAGGGTCACTCTGTAGTCAAAAGGCAGGCAGAGTTTAGAGAGTAGCTGATATCTGATTTGAGGTCGTCAATGAAGGAATCCAACCTAACAGAGCAGGGCAGACAAAAAGGCAGCTTGAGCACGTGTAACAAACGCAATATCACAAGCAGGTTTGGCTGACTTAAATCAGGTTTGGTCCCCAAACAGAGACTGACCACATCAATCACCTTGCAGGTGGACAGACAGACAGGTATGCATCATAATCAAAACCAGGATGCTGGAATGAGACAGGAGCGTTTAAACGCTACTGAGAGATTGCCTGTGGTCTTCCTCCAGCTGATCTTTTCCCCATTGCTGTCTTATTCTACACTGTGGGGATTATTTACTAAAACTGGTTCAATAGAATCTCATGCACTTCTGCATAGAGACCAACAAGCTTCCAGGTTGTATTGCTAAATTTTAGTTGAACAAGCTGAGGTTAGAAGCTGATTGGCTACCATGCACAGGTGCACGAGATTCTGAGTGAACCAGCTTTAGTAAATAAACCCCTCTGTCTCTGTCTGCAGGTTTCCTTGTGAGCAGAATGCAGGGTGGTGTGACAGCGGCAGAAATCACACAAAGGTCAAGTAACGTGAACTGTGGATTGAGAGGATTCTAAAAAGGCACAACTAGTCCCAGCAGGTGTGCACGACCATCTAGAGCCACTTGCGAAACCTGTAGAAGTAATAGTTTAGCATAAACTGAAGCCAGCAGCTTCTGGTGGGGGGAGAAT